AAAAACGTTGAGATTTGTTTTACAACAGGTTTTTCCAGTTCGTGACAGTTACTTGGAATCGTACTGAATTAACCAATCAAATGATTCACGCATTTTACAAAACTAGTAAGTGTTAAACTGGTGCGAAAATTCTGACTGCTGTTTTGTATAAGCATAATTGTTGTATTTGCGTTTGTACATTCTCTTGCCTGAGCGCGGTAATGTTTACCGCTGCGTCTATCGTTTTCAGACGTATTACCGTTTTCTGGCTCCTTCCGCGGCTAAAAATTATTCGGAATCGCGAGGTAAGCTGCTGGTTTATTAATGTTTAGCATATCGAAAGTTAGTAGACAGTTTGTCTAGTTCATGACCATCTATGAAACGTTGAGTTTATGTGAAATGAGTCAGGATGACTACCGTGAAGAATAGCCTTTTCATTTTGAGCCGGTTTCCTTTCATTAGGTATGACATTCAGCTACACATAATACACATGGTAAAATTCATTCCTTGAACATCTGTTATGGAACTATGCAATCGGAATACTCGCTGTCGAGAATATCCAATTATTAATAGAGGCTCCCCAAACGGGTTCTCCAATCACGACATCCCGACCCAAATTTTCGCGCAATCCCGCAATCCCAATGGTTATTTTCGGCATCTCGCATTCCATGCATACGCTCAATCCCGTAGCCTGCCTCCATTTTGCATTAAAATCCCGCATCCCGCCCTTCAAATATAATAAGGCAAATCTCCCATTCTGCCGAAAAGCAACCTCGTCCCCAGGGCGCTTTTCCCTGGCCAGGGAAAAGCGCCCTGGGAACGAGGTTGGCCGAAAAACTAAATGGAAACCCTCTTGGTAGCCTCGATTTCAAAGAATATAATTGAAAATCGCCTATTCCAGGTGTTTAGGTTGTAGAGCGCAGCGTTCAGATGGTGGGGCGTGAGTGAAATTGTACGGGAGAAAAACGAGAGAAAAAAACTGGGGAGAATGGGTCTTCCCCGGTTTTTTTCCTTAGCAATTTTTCGCCTGCGCTCTATCTGAACGCCTGAAACAGGCTAAATTGAAAAATTGCAAGTGACTTACCACTGCTTGGCTTTGATGATAATGTCTACAAAAATTATCCTTTTCTTCTGAATTCTTGGGGATGGTTAGTGTTATGAGACTACGTCAGTCTGTCATACATGCGTAGACAATCGATCATGCCGATGTAAATAAGTTAACGCGCGAAGAATGCCTTAGGTCAAGCCATGCAATCTTGGTTTGCCAATGTGAAAATGCGCAATTATGAAGCTAATTCAGTGTTTGATGTACATATTCATTTAAGTCTATATATTATGTCAGCAACCGTGACTTGTGAAAGTTTACACGTATGTTTATTTGTTTGTTTATACCGAGCCTGTGGAGTACGAACTACAATGTAGTTGCTAATAAAAACAATTGAGCCTTTTATGGTTGTAACGTTCTTTTTTCGTATAATCTCGGTTCAATCACTCATCTTTAATCATAAGATCATATTTTACAAACTGAATGACCTACCGACAGGGCAGTCAGTGAATGAAATAATTAATTCGTAAAGATCAGTATTTCCTAAGTTGCAGTAAGAATGGATTCATCTAGACCTTCTTTAATTGAAATTGCAATATCTTTAAACCCGTGCTCAGTTTAGTCAAACATAGGAAACTTACAAAAAATAACTTAATTTTGTAGATATTTATGACATTATGTAAGAGGTGTTAGTTCTTAGGTGCGGCAGTAAAAGTGGAACTTTTCACGCTTTCATTATGATACGATGTCTCACTCTGATGGTCAGTGTATTCGAAAGTTTTTTGCCAATTCTGTAGCGCCGTTGTTGATGTCTACCCTACAAACGTGCCCGAAAAAAATGCTGTTGAAATAAATATCTTTTAAACGTAAAACATTGAGACGAAGGGTCAAATTTAACTCTCCTAGTGTGGAATAAGTTCCCCAAAAAAGGCTTAAGCGACTGGTCGGTTCTCCTTTTTTGTAATAATAATCATCATCATCATCATCATGACGATGACGATGGTGATGATCATATGACGACGACGACGACGATGATGATAGAGGAAAATAATACAAGAGATCAAAGAATAAGCTGCTAGAGTTACAGAACACAGTCATCTCTACTATCACGCACGTGTTAGAAGCTTTAAAATCATTCAGAAGTCGTTTGCAACCATCTATGTCATATATACAAACACGTGTTGGCGGAATTCCAAGAAAATTTTCTTGTCTTTGGATATCAAGATCACGTTGAAGGCATTCTGCTTTAAAAAATGAGAGAACAGAACAGTTTACGAAGGCAAAACGTTTTACCTACTTAACGGTCGATGCGCCGTTATCGTTCGAATTTTCTGAGTTTTAAGAAAATATTCATCAAATCTGAGAAATAGATAGAAAATAACTTTGAAACTGGACAAGCCTACTCACAAAATTGCTGAAAACAATGAATCGAAGTGGTAAACGAATCTTACACAAACTTGCGTTCCCCCCCCTTTTTTTTCTGTCAACTGCTTCTTTATACACTTAGTTTAAAACAATCGCAACTTAGGGATTATTATTTTTTTGGCATGTTTACTTGAGCGTTTAAGAGTATATTTTCTTTGAATGGAACAAGCATGTCGCGGTGCCAAACTAGCCAACACCTTTGGGCAGTTGTGTTTGTACTAACTATGAATAGATCTGGTGGGAGAGAGGAATAAGACACCTTCGACAAAAACAAGACTTTTCAACATTTTTTGTCGTTATCTTACAGATTTATGGACTATAGACAAAGCAAACGTCTGCTTAAAATCGAAAGAATTTTAAGAGTATTAAATCGCTTTGCAAGAACTCTTGTTAAAGAATCATTCATATTTGATGACTTTCACCTGCTCGCGGTGCAAACGGATTATCGCCTTAGTTCCAGCCACTAGTTCACTATGAAAGCGATAGAAAGTCTTTGTGGTTCATCGCTCACAAGTTGGCATAACACCAAGCATAATTCTCATGCATTTGTTGACAGACTTGAGCAAAAGCCATGACTCCTGTATAGGGACTTTATTCGAGCAGATTTTCAATTTCCTGGTCTTTATAAGTGGTCCAGTTGCAACGGATGTGTGACCCTACTCTGGTAAACACAGGGGAGAGAACTTTTTGCGGCTTTTGCTTTGTTATTAAAATTAATTCTACTTTCGGATTGGATTGATTTTTATGTAAACGTGTTCCACATAAGGAGCAGAGATTAATTTTTATATCCTCTCTTGGAAGAAGAGAAATGTCAAAGAGGTTTAAATAAACGATTTAGTAAGCGCGCCAAAGTACAAACAATTTTCGCGCACGGAAAACCTGAGGAGCGTCGAATTTTAACGTTAGAATGAATGAACGTGTGAAGGATGTCTTATGAAAGCGACGGATTTATCCCAAATTTGTGGTTTTCCTTTCTCTCAGTTGTAAGGGAATAAATATTTCTCCATTTAATTTTCTTTTGTGGTGAAAGCAGTTTAGATTCTTCGTCAGTTCCACCATTCTTTTCTTCTTTTTTCCAGCAATTTCTGGTAATTTTTAAGGTGGTCTATATATTTCTTTCACAGCTGTTTAGTCAAAAGTCATAAAAAATTTAAACATTTTATCCCCACAATATTAATTTCAAGAGCCTCGACAAAGTTTACTTCTTTGAGGGTGACTTTTGTTTTTCAAATACGTTCTCAAATAGGGCAAGTTGATTGCAAGCAAAATACGCGAACTGGATAAAAGAATTAAGTCTCTCTGTCTTAGGTCTTTTATAATGGTTTCTTTATTGATGATAGTTGGCCTTATCAGATATAGCTCGCGCCATGTGCTAATTAGATGAGTCAATACATTTCAATAACATCAGGCTCTTTGATGAACAAAGAAAGAAAGAGTTAATCAAGTCCCACACGGCCTAGGCAAAAAAGAGCGCCCTTGAACAAAAGGACTCCAATTATCCGCCTGAAATTGTTTGACTGTTTAGAGAATTTGCGAGCTCTTTAACACACCAGGGAAAACTTTAGTGCCTCGACACGTTAGAATTGATGTGTTTCGCGTGAAAAAGACACGCCACAAACAAAGCAAGTAATTATTGGACTTTTGGGAGCCATGCGAAATGGTGAAAACCAAAATAGACCGCTTTATGGTACCTTAAAACCCGCCCAAACACCACGCAACCTGCTGAAACAGACCAGGTAGTTGAGTTCTACCAGTAAAAACACTGGGGTGGTGACTATATATTTCAGCTTAGGTTTATTGAAGGGCTACCAGTAGTTTGGTTTCTCGTTGCGGGCTTAATTTAATAAAGTATGCTTTTCGGCAAACTATGGACGGATTTTCAAACAGAATTGGCGCCTAGGTGACGGCTTTGGTGAGAATTTTGAAAGCTATCCTTCCGTGATAAGTTGATCTACCGGATACCTGCATTGCATTTGCGAACTTACGGTAACTCAGTAACTACACCCACCCTTGAAGTGGAATTTCGTACAAAATTGCACATCACATCTGGCAATTTGCCCTCAGGCTATACATGCCAGGTGAGCAAGTTTCCTGGCCACGTCCTCAGAGAAGAATTTGGCGGGGGCATACCATTTAGAACTCGCTGTGATACAGGGAAAGTGGCGTTTTTACTGTAAAAAACATTGCGATATAAATGGCGATCGGTTCACTGTCGGTTAGGCGACGAAATCTACTGGCTGACATTAGAATATGTGACAAGGAACATGGAAAAGGTGCTAATTCTTTCAGAAAAGAACACAAAAATGTCACCTCCTCAATGGATTGCATGTCAATTACACATGTCAAGGATTAATGTCGCTCAGCCTGATTGGTCGTTTGAAAATTTTCGTCCAATCAGAGAGTCGGGTTCATTAGTTCTTATGACAACTACATTGTTACGACGCAGCTGGAATAAAACTTCATAAACAATACACGAGTTCAGCGGAGAGCGTGAGTGAGACGAGAAGAGACGTGAACAGCGAACCAGCGAGCGACAAACATACGTACGGTAATGGCTTACTATCCATTCTACCCAGCAAGGATGAGAGATTTTCGCGTCAGTTCTTTGCTGGAAGGTTGTTCGCAGTTTATTCCTGGCGTACCAGGGAGTGGGTCGTCGATTCCGAATAATTTGAATTCAAACGGGCCGTTTCCATATTCACCGTACCATCCGACACAAATGGCGAAACAGCCATCTCACTTCGGACCAGGTTCCATGCCGGGACCTCCACAGCAAGTCCATATGCCTGTTCACGATTCCGAGTACGAAAATATCCAAGTCAATTTGGAAAACAAGGAGCTTTGGCAGACTTTCGACAAGGAGAAAACAGAAATGGTTATTACCAAGGCAGGAAGGTATAGAAAATATATGTATTCTCTTGTGACCAGTAAAGCCCGGCCGGTTGTTGTGCGGTTGATATAAGCTCCTGGAATTTCGCATCGAAGGAATTGTGTCGATTTAAACGCCTAGCGGTCTCGAAGCGATGCAAATGCCAGTTTAAACCGACAATTTTGTCTGCAAAAAAGCTAAACAATCCCCCCATGAACACATTGACTCCTTAGGTGTAACGCCATTAACCCCGCGGACCAGGAACCGTTGTTGATTTCATCACCCATGTTTATTTCAATCGGCCCGTGGCTAACAGTTTCGTTTTTCTGTCAACAGGCGAATGTTTCCGCCGATTAAAGCACGCGTGACCGGCTTGGACCCTAGAGCGAAGTACTTTTTTCTCATGGACATTCAGCCCGTGAACGATGTTCGATACAAGTTTCATAACTGTAGATGGATGGAGGCGGGCAAAGCTGATCCTGAGATGCCTAAACCACTGTATATGCATCCTGATTCCCCCAGCACTGGGGCACAGTGGATGCAGAAAACAATCTCGTTTCATAAAATGAAACTTACCAACAACATAGCGGACAAATACGGCTACGTGAGTTTCTTTAAGCCTTTGAAATCCCGTCTTTTTATTCGTTTTTTATCATCTATCGATTTGCCGTCACATCTGTAATTATTTTTGTTTGTTGATTGTTGTTGATGGCCGATTTATCTCTTTATTTACTTCTTTTTTTTCTTCTCTTTCTATTAGACAATTTTGAATTCTATGCACAAGTACCGTCCTAGAATTCATGTTGTAAGAGCGGACGACACATACAAACATCCCTACAGCATTTACAAGATTTTCACATTTCCTGAAACAGAATTCATTGGAGTGACGGCTTATCAAAATGAGAAGGTTCGTGTTAAAGCTCACTGTTAATTACTACTTTCCAGTTTGTGTTGAAAATCAAATCGTCATTTTGTTTTTAAAGTGGTTTGGTAATCGTAAGTTCGATTTGGCTTAAGAGGGAGTTTGGAGTATTTGTATTTTTATTCAAGAAAGCTTTTGAGCTTTGTTGTTGAATTGATAGCTATTCATATATCTGTTAAAGCAAAAAAAAAAAAAAAAGAAAGAAATTAACGTAATACGCTATAAACAAGTAGAGTTATCTAGCAAAAGGGGAACATGAGTAAGAAAATTTGTGGAATAAATTTTTCGTATTGTAGTAGATTAAAAAGATGCGCGATCTCGTTCTCATAGTTCTATGTGAATAGAAATCTTTGTTTCACTTACAACTCCAAAATTTTGACAGGGTTGGGGCATAAGTTTCAAGACCCTTAAACAACATCGTCAATTTCAAAGTAGTTTATGTCGATTTCTTCCTAATTTGTACTGTTTTATTGTGGGGCTTTAAACGCAGTTCTAGAACGTTCTCTGGTAAGTGAGGAAATTCTGGTCTTACAGATAGCTTCCAGTATGAATGGTCACTGAATACCTTTCTTCCGACATAAGAAAAGGAAAAATGATTCTCTGCGGCTTAGGGTGTTTACGTTTCTTCTGAGATGACAAAAGTGGTTTGTATGATTTGAACACTTATAAAGACTTTCCAGGAATTAACTGAGTGTTTCTACGGACATAGCACGTTGTGTTAATCGTTCTTTCACAGGCCCAACCTGGCCCCTTGCATTATTAAATTATTCCTCGTCTCAAACTTTTTCATCCGACTGACTGGATTTTATTTTTCTTTTGACAGATAACTAAGCTGAAAATCGACAACAACCCTTTTGCGAAAGGTTTCCGCGAGCAAGGAGCAGGACATCGTAGGCGGCTTGAACGAAGGTACGAAATGATTTTGTTCTGTAAAGTAACACCAGTTTGTTTGAGCTTCCTTTTCACTCGGGCCTCTTACAACTCTGTTAATCTTTTTCACTAAACGCTGGCCCCTTGGGTACAAAAACTTAATACCTGAGGCGAAGGCCTCAAATTTCTTGGTACAAAGAAACATGAAAAAACAACTGTTTTGACACACAAAGCCGCGAACGAGCCACAATAACTTGTCCAGCGTGCGCGATTTTCACACGTTCTTTATCACCTTTCCTCATTCATCTTGAAGGCAACGAAGTAACCCTGGTGGGTCCTTACACGATGAAGACGATGAAAATAACAGCGAAGACGAGGAAAGCGGCAAAGAGCCGGGGGCTTGTGGTTCCACAAACGACATTCACTCCGGTAAGCTCAAATTTTTCTTTATTGCTGCGGCCCGGGCTGCGGCCTTCTTTGTATCAATAGCCGCCAGCGCCTTCAAAGAAAAAGCGACTCAGTGCGGTTCGTCAGACGCCAAATTCAGTTCGGTAAAACGGTGATCAACTCTAAAGAAGTGGAACTCGTTGGGGTTCTGTTATGTTTGCGATTATTTCCTCACTTAAATACACCATTAATTTTTATTTCTGGCTCGAAAATCGCTCCGATCTACATCAATAATTACTGTCGTCGAACGCGTTGATGCATCGCTAGATTTTGCAGTTTCGTCTTAAAACGCATTTACCGTTGCTTTGACTTATTAAGGCTAGGAAGTAACGTCAGGCTGGATTGCATTATTCCTTCCATTGAAGGATAAAAAAACTCGTGCAAGAAAATTAATTGAAACGAATGATTCAAAGTGGATGGTAACAGCTGTATCAGTATTAACGTTTTCACTAAAAACAAAAAAAGAAAAAGAGTGGTTTTAGAGTGACTTAAAAACAGCCCTCGTTTTTTGTTAATATTAGTGATACAGGTAGAGATTATTTGCCTTCTTGAATTAAGAGGCAAGGTTTATTCCTAAGCAACGGATTAACGTTTAACGGCCTTTCTTTTGGAAGATCAATATCTTTTCTTTTTGGTTTGTTCAAAGCGTTCTATAACTCGCTCAATCATGGCGAAATTGGTTTGACTAATTATTTAAACATTTTTCTCGTTAGTCAAAGTCCCACTTGTAAAAGTTAAGGCGCTCTTAGTATAACTTATAAAACATTTGTTTATTGTTTGACAGGATCTTCTGATCTCTACAGGGGAGTTCTTTTAATTATTGTTCCTTTCGATTCCTTGATGAAGTAGATTTTAAATACCCCCTTTAGTGCTAGAATTTTCAGGACGATGTTCGCGGAGGAATATATAACCACAAACAGCTATAAAGCTTCCCTATTATATTTCTTTAGCCTTTAACCATAATTTTCGCCATCATTGTAAATATCTCACTGAATTCAGCACCAAACGTGCCATTTATCAAAGTGACAGAAACAGAGCTAGCCACTGTTTCTAACTATTTACCAACGTTTTGTCGGGAATTCAACTTCACTGATTTATTTTTAGGAACTTCAAAAAGGATGCGGTTAGTCAAAGTATCTTTCCTCGCTTAACAGTTAGAAAGGCGTGTCAAAAACCCGTTTGACGGGAAAAAAATTCTCAATATTGTTGTTGCTTTGTTCCAGATGGCTTGGAGGAAATTTCATTTCCGTATATTTCTCGATGTATAGATTGGGTGCTAGTGTTTGCGTGCTCAAGTGTGAAAGATTGGAAGCTCTTAATTCTGTTCATATACAGTGTCCTTACACAAGGTGTAAATACATCACATCCTTCAAAACAATCAACTTTGATTGAGAATTGCTTACAAGGTTCTTTTAGAGTTTGGGATATTCAAGAGGGACTTTAAAAAGTTTGATTCAAAAAGCCTTTCTGCATCGATTTCAAAATCTATCCCTTTGATTTGATTCAGGTTTCTAAAAATGTCCTGTAGTTTTTACTCTAGTAGATGGATTGCAGAGTGGAATTATTCTTGCTTTTTTTAGTCTTTTATATGGCCAACAGAAATGTATTTCGAAAGTGGGCGTGGAAAGTTTAGTTTTCACGGGATGGGAGTCCCAAAGAAGAATAAATAATTTTGCTTTTCCACTGGTAAAACTAAAAGAGATGCAAATTGGAAACCACTCTTATTTGCTTTTAAGGCAAAATAGAAAACAAGGTTAAATTCTTATTGATGGCAACGTGTAAATTTCTTCAACCCATTTAGGCAAGACGTTGACAGCTTTAGCAACTAATGAACGAAAACTTTTAGACGTTAAGCTGAAAAATGTTCTGCTTTTGTTCCCAAACGAACCATCTTCACACGCGTTACAAACTGTGCTGGTCCCGAATAGATGCTCATTAGCTTATTAAAAACAGACGTTTTCAAAAACTCGTTTAAAAAAAGCCACCGAACTGGCCTGGAAAAGTTTTGTCAATCAGTGTCGCACAAAGTTGCATTAAAACATAACAATATTTCGACAAGTACAATACGTGCGAAGTGTGAGATAGCTCTTTCTGTTGATATATGTAGTGATTTGATTCTATCGAGACCATGCCAAACTCTGATTGCGTTTTGAATAAAACCACAAATGAAGGGAAGGTGTTCAGCCTTCTCGTATCAAATACCAAACTAAATTGTTCCATGTTTTTATTAGAACCTTTTACTTAAATAGAAAGTGTTCTCCATTAAAAGTGTTTTCCATAGCGTTCGCCTGAAATATAACAATAGAGTTGTTGGCGCTCGTAATGAAACATCGAACCGCCCACATAATGAATCGAAAATGTGTCCATGAAAACGCCACACTTTGTCGCAGGTGCGGAGGAGAAAAATCTGCCTTACATAACAGACTACTTAGCCATCTGGCATTCTTACTTTTAAGCAGAATTTCGTGAAAAATTTTCCTTGAAAAACGCTTTTTCAGCATATCTTTTAGCTCGAATTGAATGGGTAACTCGTTTTGACAGCCGCACCACTTTTCCAATCACATGTGGAAAGAGATTTATCGATTGTGCACCATGGTACACAATGCATTCGCCTCCAAAATTCACCAGCTAAAAAAAATTAAAACAAAACTGTTAAAAGGAAACAAAAAATTTTAAAGAAAAGGGAAAAGGACCTCGGGTTTAATTTTTTTTTTTTTTTTTTTTACAAATGGTGCGTCTTTGCAATTTGTTTTGTCAACTTAGGCATTCATTAAACACCAGGTATCTAGGAAACACTAAGACCAGGAAAAATGTTTTTAACTTTGTTGTTTGCGAAGCTGTCAATCGAGGCGTTTGTCTCTCAGTAACGCAGCAATAGATCATTCAGGTTTTTATCGTCACCAAACAATCATCTTTTTCGCTGGAGCGAAGCGCAACTTTAAGCACCTATTTTGATTCTTGTATTCGTGTTGAAGGTGAGTGAGATCACGTTACCGAGAAATGTTAGGTTCTTATTCATCACATTAAAGTATCGACCCCAATTTCCTTTTATTTGCCTTAGTATTTTCTCCATCGCTTAATTTACATTTCGTCCGAAGATTCGTCTCAGTGTACAATAAATTATCCATGTTTTAATTTTATAATTCTACTCCCGGTCAGTTTTGCCACGAACTCTTAGTCCCGGGTGACCCATCTACACTCTGTGTGTATGTTTTGTAGTCATTACGGATAATGTAATTGAATGGCGTTTAAGTTCGAGAATTCTTCTCTGTTTACTTTAGTTTATTTACTTGTTGCTGGATTGTAACTAAAGATTCGATAATGTTTTCATCAGAAACGTCCGATTTTGAACGTACCACCATCCCCCCTACCCAAAAAAGAAACACTTGTGGTTCCAGTCACAACATTTAATAGTTAGTATTTGAATCAAGGGTCTTAAAGATTGAACCCAGTTAGCCTTGAAATAATATCTGGTTTATTTTAAGTAATGAAAGCGTTTTAATTATTTATATCCGATTGCCAACAAATCCTTCTATCCTTGTCTTGGTAGTTTCTTTTAAAAGATGTTAGTTGCTAAGCCATGTAAAGTATTTGCAGAGAATTTTGCTTATTACGCCATTGAATGGAGAACAAAAATACACCAAACAATTCAAACTGTCACAAAACCATTTTCCCTCAGAATATTAAGACTCAATAGTAATCAACGCGATTCAACAAGAAACTAGAGTCACTCGAAATGTAAACTAACACACGTGCGCCTATAAATTTTTCTTGGCTGAATGTCGGGAGTCCAATGAGAACTGTATATGTTTGACAGAAATGGTCAATTTATTTATTAGTCTTTATCATCTATGATCCTTGTGAAGTCTTAAAAGTTTAAGGTCAGAAAAATCGGGTGAATAGTTGATTGTTGAACGAGCAACGCGCGACCTTTTAATTTTATTACAGCGAGCTTAAGTTAGAATGGGGTCCTGGTTTTTCTTTTCTCTTTTTTCGTTCCTATCCAAAAGTAAACTCTTTTTAAATCACTGACGAGCTGGAAAATGTGTAAATAAAGGTACCGGAAAGGAAGCTTTTGAAATGTAATAATTAATATTTCAGCTGCAGTAAACAATTAGTGAAAAGAAACTTTGAAATGAAAGGCATTATTATCTACCTCGGCAGTGTGTTGACTCTTGAAATGCAATCTTTGACGCTATCTTCTTGTCCAAACTTTTTCAAAGTTTTTCTCTGACGACGGCCTAATTTGACAATTAACCTCTGCCCCTCTGAGTTGAAATAAAAGTTTTTTTAATTTTTCCCAAAGCGTTTATCTTAATGTTGGTTGAAAAATTCAAGATCGTGACTATTTATCGTGTTTACTTTCTATAGTTAAGGGTCTGTAACAAACGCGGTTATACGTAAAAACCAGGCTAAGGCACTGGCTAATACAAACCTTTAGAATTCAACGCATCTTGACTTTTTCAATACAATTGTAAAGGCTTTTGTATTTATTGTTTTTCTACACCACCATCAAGTCTAATTGCTAGCACTCGATAACAAAAACACACACACATTGAAAAACGCATTACAATTTTTAGTTTCAGTATAACAGGATTTGTTTCTTAATCCTTGTATCAACAAATGTCAAAAGACCAGAAGTATAAACTTGTAGAAGCCTCTGGGTACTGTTTATCATGTCCTGCTAGCTCACTCTAAACTTTTGAGTCTGTGGACTATGAACTTAATGTTTCAGTAAAACAATTAAAGCCGAACGGAAGCTATTGAGTTCCTTCTTGCTGCGTTGTGAGTTATAATATACAAGATCATTGATATACAAGAGCGTGCGGTACATATTATATTTGACCATTCAATTTAAAGCCACTGAGGAGTACTTTTTTGGTACTGTTTATCAATCTGACCACTTGAATAAAATCCCACTAAAAGTGTTTTCTTGTTTTCTTGTGGCACGACTGTGTTTGGTCCTCTAAAGGTGGGCCGCGTCTCCTACTAACTTCTATTTTTTTTCGGAAAGCCTATTTGTGCGCAAGTTGTCATGTAGTAGAAAGTGTTTGTGACCATTTAACTGAAATTTACAGAGTATTAACTGCTTGTGAAATGCATCTTTTCATTTTACAGTCTAGTACATTAAGATTGTTTTGGTCAGTTTTGATCTTTTTGGCCAACTGCATGAGTTCGCGCCATTGACAAAGGAGATGCCTTTTTCATTTTCCGCCGCACAGCACGTGTTTAAACATTACACAGCTTAGGAAATTAACTAAGAAATACTAGTTCACACCCTGTTTTGTCCTAATAATGGAGCTTACAAGTTTTAACAGATTTTCCTTTAAATGGTCAGAGGACTCAATCCCAAACTATATAATTTAATTTTCTTCTAATATTGCATGCGATTATTATTTGCCTCTTAGATGTAATTAGGAAGGTTTCTATATTATATTTTATATGTAGAATGTAAACTCAAACGTTTCAATTCAGTCAAGCTTTTTCAAGTACATTTTGTGATGTCCACCGTACTTCTTGCGTGGTCATAACCATACCAGCTGAGACAATGGTGGAGAATAGGACTAAATGTTGACTGTAAGGTCAAAAGAGCAATTCATATAAAGACTTCTGGGGAATTTTGCCTCTACAAACTGACAGAGCATAATTGTGTCTGTTACATTGTGTGGGAGAGGATTTGCATCTTCGACTGTTCCTGAATAGACTTTCCTCTGCCTCTGTTTACTCCAAGGCGTGAATTTAATCAAAGGGTTTATTCAGCAGTGCCTAGCTTTGTGCTGTTTGCCAAAGGTTTAAAAGAAAAGTGCTAATAAATATTAAATAGTAATAAAAACTACATCGCACTAATTATTGTGGTTCAGTTTATGCCATTTGCTGTTTACCAAACGACTAATATTCTGAGCAATTATCTTTGACCTTCAAATAAACACTAACGCTTATCAATGCCCCGCCTTTTTTTCAGGTTCCTCGGCAGCAGAAAACTCCGTAGTCGGTCTTCCTTCATCACCTGAGGACATTAAACCAGTGATACAAGTCGACAAAGGTCGCTCCTGTGCGAACACTCTGAGTCACTCTCCCTCTCCTGTACAAAAAGCTCTTCCTGCACCAGATATCTTACATCATAGTCAACCGTTTAGCGACTTTTCGCGTCCGTCCACTCTACACATCCCAGAGGATAGCAAACCAGTGATTTTACCACCAAATTCCAGCGAAAGTGTTCCGTTCTCGTCCCAGTCACACTTAAAACTTTCAAGTGCGCGGGCAATGCACATGGACATGCGCTATAGCCCTTATCCAAGACCTGCCTACCCAATGGGTGGCATGCCTTCGAGCTTCCTTCCACATGCGCATGGACACATGTACCCGTCATACAGTGTCCCACAAGCTGCTTACCCATCATGCCAAGTAGGCCAAAGCTACCCACCATGCACTGTGAACCAACAGAGCTTTGGCTACCCCGCAACAGTAACCTCGTCGAGTATGTTCGAGCTGACCAGCGGTAGTACAACTTCGGAGCTACCAGCAGCCCTGGACCTACAGGGATCAGTGGACAGAACTCCTGGAATGGAGCACAGAACGACATAAATGCCGACAGTTTACTCTGTATGCAGATATTCTATTTATGAAAAGGTGACGATCAGTTATTTAACAAAAAGTCGCGTTGATCTGATCAGAACAGTGTCAAAGAAGGAATTTGGTAGCGTTTATTTAGACGGAGATATGATTCTATTAGATGCAGAATTAACTAGGGCTTCAAATCGACTAAGTAGTGGCACTATCAGACTTTTAACGCAAAAGGATATCTCGCGCATTGTATCGCTTAAGTTATTTTTTGTGTATTTGCTTTACATACATGTAAATGTGTAAAATTTACGAAACGGCACACTGAGGTCACCTCCGATCTCCGTGTTTCACAATTTATCAGATGAAAGATTCAGATAACAAGAGACCTTATTCTTAACAAAAATATAAATTCAATAACGTAACATATCAACCCAGGACTTACATACCATAAAATATTTTTTATTTTCATGGACTGCCAATGTATAGATTTGACAATCTGTCTCAAAATGTCCTTTCGAGAAAATAGACACAGGCTGGGCTGTCCAGTGTAATACAGCAATCGAGCGAAGTCCTCAACAGCTTTGATTTAGGTGGTATCCCTGTGGAGAAGACCGGTCACATGTCATTGGGCACCACGACGACAAACTTAAAAATGATAATAAGTCATATTTATACTACCACTTGTTCTTCTTATGACAATAAAAGCGGGACGTTCGTCTAAAGAGATTGTCCCCAAAGAAGTATTATCATAATTCGAACGCAAGTTCCAATCGAATATTTCAACACAACTTCTTCTTCTAGGCGTAAAATGGTCTTAATTCTGTGTTCTTGAAGCCGAGAAAGCGTGATGATGATCTTAAGGCTATCGTAGATTGGTGTACGAATGTTGGCAAGCACACAGCAATAGGCGTCAAAATAAGTCCTGTGGGGCGACCTGCTTTAGCTATTACTTCCCCAGTGTTGTCGAAAGAATCAAGAGGTTTATCCCCTTCGGTCCCGTTAAGGGATGGGTTGTTCCTTCACTTCCGGTAGTAACTGCAATCAGTACTCATGAGATGTCAATGAAAACTTACAACAGACTTAGTTACTCGTCCTTTGAACAACTCTGTCCAGGGAGTCTGAGCGGCAACACAAGCAACTTTGGTTGGGAAGGTAGATTTGCGAAATTAAAGTCGTTTTATGTAGCTTCTTTTTGGCAAAATCTAAAATTCAATTTCCAGTGGTACTAAAACTTTAAGCTGCTTAGAATCTAGTTACTTATCAGTTACTAATAAATTTAAATAATTTAGCTCAGTGAAGTCTTATCGTATTGTAAAGCTCGATTTCGACGATAAAATTATATTAATATACAATATGCTTACGATAATTTAGAAGAGACGATTCGGGATGAAGTTCTAGAGGTTTCGTAACAATTGCGTCCTCCACAGTATCTGTAACAAATGTTTAGAATAGTTTATTTCTTTAATACGACCAAAGTATGTTGCTCAAAGCGAAATTCTTGGTGAAAGTTCTGATAGTTGAGGATAGCTTGAAATATTTGGGATGTATTATAACACAGTGGACAGAAACCACTGTGAACTGTAATACTTATAAGTAACAAAACAAATAACTGTTGCTTTAGTACACGATCACAATTCCACACATTTGTGGAGATATGCTTACTTTTCATTTGATCGAGTCACATTCTGTGTGAGTTAAAGGAAGTAATTTTCATATATTGTTATCGTTTTCTAAAAACCCGGGTAGCGATTTTGAAAGAGTTGAAAACTAGTCTATAAGCTTTAAACAGAGAACAAATACCATTGTTTATCAAACTGGCGCTGTTATTTGTGGTAACGATGTGATATCAAAACTTAGCTTCGGCCTTTATTCTCTGAGGATTTTGTTTCTGGTGATATATCTGTTCTTCCTTTAACTGAAAAAATGGTATTTGTTGTCTTGAAGATCATGTTATTTAATTTTAATTTCTATTTCAGTCTAAGGAAGTTCCCGTATGAAGAAAATACAAAGTCATGGTGATGGCTATTTTTAAAGGACTATTGAAACAAAACCAGAAAAAAAGGGAAATAATATATTATGCTTGTAAAATAGCTGTCGCTGGTCGATTTGAAAACGAGAAATTTTATCTAGTTTATTGTTATATTTATTTATGGTTTTGGGTTTGACCGTCTTTTGATTAAAGCCAGAACCATGCTTGGACAAAAGTTTCCTTGTTTCTTTGTTTACAGGGTGTGTAATAAATGTTTTACAGGAGCTAGGTCATGGTTTCTGCATTTTTTTTAAATAACTTGCTATTCATGTTAAGCCTCGCCATCCTAAATCATCCTTTATCCTTTGTAGTTGACTCAGTATTACCTCTTTGGCGTTGTCCTATGTAGCCAAAGCTAATGATTCATTTTCCTTTAATTTCAAGATAATTTCGTAGGTTGCAAAATAATTTATCAAAATTTCTCATGACATTGCTCCAGTTAGGAACTATTATTAATAGCAGTGGTTTTGCAATGGCTGTGTTGCATGACCATTACATTCGTAGAATCACATTTCATATGACTTTGCATTTGATAGGTGGAACTTAGTGCACATGCATAAGCTTGTACTAATAAATAAGCCCATTAAAACACATTTTCTTAGGCTCCACTAGAAAAACACCAGAGAAAATATTCAACTAGAGACGTAGAAGGTGTTTTTGTTCGCTCGAAACAAAAAAATTGTACATAGCATTATTATATATAGTAAATCAATAAATAAACATTCCCAGTGATAGATGGTCCTCTACGTTTCCTTTTTTTTTAAGCATACTTAATTTGTGCGTTCGAGAACATCACCAGAGAAAATCGCTCAGCTAGGAGTTGAGCTGCGGAATTAAGTTATAAGTGCTTAAGTGCCGGTATGAAGTGTTACCAACGCCAGGATTCGAGCCAGGACTCTAGCTAGGACTGGAGCTAAGACTCAAGCCAGGACTCCAGTTAGGACTTTTCTAATCTTTCTGTAAGCAAAAAATAAATAAATGAAAATAATTAATAAACAAAAACACAAAAGTAAAAAAAAAGCAACAAAAAGGACTCCTAACCAAACTCGTGAGCTCCTAACCCTAACCCTAACCCTCTAACCTTAACCTACCCCTCACCCTAACCTAGCAGTAACCCTAACTTAACCCTAACCCAAACCCTAACCTCTAACGCTAACCCTCCCCTTAATAGTCACGTGACTTGCAGGAGGTGAAAATGGCGGGAAAGCGAAAAATTGTCGAGTCCTGGCTAGAGTCCTGGCTCGGTATATGGGCATCCTCGTTAAAATTGGCGTTATAATTCTTCGGGTTTGACTTCTTCATAAAAACCTTGTAAAATGTCTCTTAAAACTACGAAAAGAGAACACGCTCATGTGATAAATTCTCCGATATATGCAACTATAAGAAAGAGTGATCTAGCTTCTACCCTTCGTGTCCAGTTCGCTTTATCTTGTTTGGCCCCCAGGCCTCTCTCCTTTGAAAAAAGCAATTCCCTCCCATTCAAACTCTCTAAAAGGGTGAAAGTTCTTCACAGATTACTTCTAATTATTCCCACAGCCTTTGGCAAAACCTTTGGTGTTTTGTTCTTTGCAAAGCGTTTTTACTTTGGAACCACAGGAAGGTTGCCGATTGAATGGACAAACTTATTTAATTTATTGTCTCATTATGAGACCAAGCACGTGTACAAACTGGTTGTCTAGCTCGATACAATTGCGGTATGGCTTTTATTCAGTCATAAACAAAGGATGTACTGTACAACTTCCATCCACTTGTAACCGCTCTGTGGTAGTAGCTAACTCGAAAGCTTGCCTCCTTTAGCTGCTACGCACTTTTTTCCTTTGTTATGTTTATTTCAATGTATAGTTAGCTCTGTTTTTTACTTCTTTTTTTTTCTTATTGTTGTTGTATTGTAATTGAATAAGAGTGAATAAATGAACTTGAACTTGAAGGCATAAAGAAGGATCTTCTGTGTTAAACGCCACCGTTACATGTCAGGTGAAACAATAGGTACCTGTTCGAGAGACTTCGATGGCAGTTTGTCACAATGTCTCGTTTTAATGGCCGTTCGCAGCTGGTCAGTCACGTTGTACAAAGTACCATGCTGGAAAGCGAGAAACACATCGAAACAAGACTGACAAACAAAGAGAATCACCGGCCATTTTAAATGAAGTAAGCTCTCTATTTGTCTTGTCAAAGTACTTTTTTTTTGCTCTCCAACATGGCGGTTTTGTACCACGTGACAGGCCACCTGGAAAGGACCCATTTAAACAACTGAATAGCTTTAATTTTACATAAAGCCACGTGTGGCGACTTAATTAAGCTGTGGAATTCAAGCCAAGCTCACTGTTGCTCTCGCTCGCGCCTTGTGCCAGTGCAGGGCACCACTTATTTATCTCACCAATGCTGAAATTAGCTTGTCTCAGTTAATTTTGACTTCACTGAATGTAAATAAAGCCGAACCTTTATGAACCACTTATTCTAGAATTCTGGGCGACCACCAAAATAAAATGCCTATACGTATTTCATCCATGAACTGAAACCTGTCGTAGCCTACCACCAAACCTTGTCATTTTTAGTAACAGCAACGCTTATCGGGGGTTCTACCCACATTTTTATCGATTTCTAAGTGAAAACCCCACTCCTATTAACAGTTGTCTTTTAAAGGCAGCTATAACTTTAAACAGTTCGGGGCCGAAATTCACTTACATTAGCAGTGTCAGGATCAGTGTATCAACATTCTCTGTAGCGCACACCTTTTTTACGAGAAAAAGATTTTAAAGGATGGACCGGCCCAAATTCACTTAGTTGTCTTACATATAATCTCATTAAGACGACAGTTTTCAAATGCATGTCGGGACTAGCCCCTGTGTACCTCAGCGATAAATTAATTACACGTAGTACTGTAAGTAAACGGGAATTAGAAACCAGAAATTCGCAGATGCTAAATATTCCTTTATTTAGAACTGCTACTGGGCAGAAGACGTTTTACTATAGGACAGTGAACATCTGGAAT